ATCATTTTATATGTTTGTGTTAACTTGCATATGCGCTGTTGTGCTGACCATGTGACTTCCTCTCAAACATCATTAGCTTTAGTTTTCCTACTAGGCTGTAACTAACCAATGCCCAATATCCTTTTTAAGGTGCATATATGAAAGTTGATGAATTCTACAATTTGATTTCATTCTTACTACCGGTCTCGAAGCTACAAAAACTTGTCATACTGCTAATTTTCTTTTTGTTTTGTGGACATGATATATTCCAGTCGTTTTTATTTATATGATTGCCATGATTTCAGTGAGAATCTGCTCATGTTCTTGAGTGTGATGATGCAAATTCCCATCCATCATGCATACTGTGGTTATGCAATACAGCAGAGTAACAAATTGGGGAAATCGTTTTCTGCAGTCTTAGCTTCATATCCTACAAATCATCCCTCCCTTTTTGCACTAGAGATTGTGTTATAAATGCATGCGAAGACTATCAGGATGTTAATTGTGGCTTGTTTGAGCATAGATATGATCACTGTGGGTCGCACTAGCTCCTATTAGCAAACAATTAAAGAAATTAGTTATTTTGTGCACCTCATAAAGAAACCTATGGTGAATGTCATAGGGGTAGGTTTTTAATGCTATAGGAATGCAGGAGAAGTTTCTTTATGTTCACTTGTGAGATGGATATATCCCCAAATATAAGGTTCTAGATGTAGTCACCATCCCAAGCTTAAGGATGAACAGAAATGATACTAGGGTAGTCCTATGTGATTGTTTAAATCTTGACAATAGTTGTGCTTTTGTCGTGTAGAGCATCATAATCTGAAGAGATACTGGTTTCTTGGCACCAGCAGATATCTCTGAGAATGGCATTTTGATCATCTATAACTGGAAAAAAACAAAAATAAAATATAAACTGGCAAAAGAATATTTATACGAGTCAAGGTTTGCCATTCTTGTTTCTAAAGTTTCACTTCATCATACCCATGCTCTACACACTTTCTCATTATTTATTTTATTATATGCAAAAGTGAGTAGTCTTTTACATGATTATTTACACCAATGAAACCTTGGATTAGAAGGGACTAGGCAATTGGTGCTTGAGGCTTAGTGCTAGCTTGGATTACAGTATGGAACGTATGTGGTTAAGTTTACTTATAGCTTGTTTAACTGCTGTATGTGCTCGTGTCAGTTCATTAGTGAGTTTCATATATTGGTGCTTTTGCATTTGGGTTAAAACTGGTAATTTCTCCCCCCCCCCCCAACTGACAGGCACACCTAATGGAGTGTAAAAAGCGGCTTCTAAAGAAGCCATCGACACAGTCCAGGTGTTAACCTGAAATTCCACCCAAACCTGAAAAGCAGTCCATAAAGTGTGTGGTGGCACAAATCTGTAGACATTTTACAATTGAATCATTTTTAAGGATTGAGAAACAGTTTTTAATGAACTTTCATGAATTTTATTGCTGGAAAAGGAAAATTTCCCTTTATTTTGGGGGAAATGAAACTTTTCAATTGAGAAAAAAAGTAACTAGTCGTCATCCATCTTTTTCTAGGGCAAGAAGAAAAATAATTTTTTCTATTTTTTTTGAGTATGGAAGAGAGAAATTCTTCCTATGATTTTAGATATTATGAACTTTACTGCCAAAAAAGGAAATTTTCCCTTGATTTTAGGGGAAACGAAACTTTTCAATCGAGAAAAAAACTTAGTTGTCATCTATGTTTTTCCTGGGTAAAAAGAAGAATGAATATTTTTTCCCATAAGTTTTGGGTATGGAAGAGAGAAATTCTTCCTATGATTTTGGGGGAACAAAAATTTCCCAAGAAAAAGAAATGAATAACAGTTAACTAGCATTCCTCTATTTTTTGGTAATAAAAGTTAACTAGCATTCCAGAGGTTTGCGATGAAGAACAAATTTCAAAGAAACCAATTTTTTGGTAATACATGAAGCCTTTGTTAACAGTATGAGATAATTTTCTTTCTAAAAAGCAATATGAGATAATTTTTTTATCAATGAAAAACAGAAAGAATATCTAAAGAGAGGAATTTTTGCCAAAATTTTGGGAATACATGAAGTTTTCGACAAGAGAATCATACAAAGAAAACATGTACTTTTAATTGATTTTTGATACAATTTTGCAGTTTCCTCTTTAGCTCCTCTCTTTGTGCACAATTTTGCCTGGGAAAACATGTAATAGCGGATTCAAAATTGTATCTGAGCATCCCCCATTGGTTCTATACGTGATTCATAACTAGAGACCTTTTCTGGTCCTTGACTAATCGGGGCTCAAACTCCAGAAATTAGAAATACCAAGATAGGAATAACACTTGATATCATTAGAAATGCCCATAAAATATCATGCAGAAACATAGAATGGAGAACATACGGAGGCTTTGGAATATTATTTTCGGGCACTAGAGCGAAATTCCTTTTACCACAGGCTTCTAATAATATGCCGTGATCTGTCATTATGTGTGACTATATCTACTCTAGAATACAATAATGAATAGAGTAGAATAATAAAGAATAAAAACATAAAAAGAATAACAAAGAATAAGAAGAATTAGAAGAATAACAATAATAGAAATGAAAGAAGGAAAGCTTCTTCTACTCTTCCTTCCTGTTTCTTGTTTATTTTTCTTGTATTTGGGGTGATTAGAATTCAGGAAATATGAATTTAGATTTAAAATAATTTCTTCATGTTAAATATTGCTATAGAAAGTCTTCATTTTGGTTGGGATAGGTACTTGTTCAATTACTTGCTTGGGCAGCCCATGGTGCATTTTGGAGAGGAAAACAAACGATTTCTTCATGGTTGGAATAGGTAATTGTTCAATTACTTGCTTGATTTATGGGAAGTCCATGGTTCATGTTGGAGAGGAATTAAAATAATATAGTTTATTTTTTGTAAAAACTTCTAAAAAGAGTACGTAGAAGCAGGTATTTTGAAAGGGATAGATGGTTAAGGCATAGATGGTTAGAGTGGTGGTTGCCACAACGTGATGTCTTGAGTTCGATCCTCACCCGGTCCTAAGTTCAACTCATGCACACACACACATATATCATTTAAAAGTGGGTAGTTTTGAAATATTTACAATACTTAAGTCTACATTTTCAAAAAGAGCTAGTATTGTTGAAATATTTACAATATTTGCTGTCTATTTTGTAATTTTTTCAAACATTTTGGGAATATCTGAAATATTCTTGAATTGCTCATTTTGTGGAGTCTATATTTTGTTCATTCTTTTTCATATGAATGTGCACTTGAATGATGATAGAATCAAATATTTCTTTCAAAATAAAAAGAGTATCACCATTATGATTGGATTTACTTTGTTTTGGTGGGTGGGTTGAAGCTAAAAACTTCTGCCGATTTAGTTGAAGCAATGTGATTTTGATAACATTCTTAATTTTAGGAAAATAAAGAAAAATAATTAACTAAACTAGTCTGCTAACTCAATTGGGTCACATAAGAGTCAATTAACCAAGTTGGATTTATTGTATTGGGCACAATGTATTATGAGCATGCTTTCTTTGGCTGTAAACTGACTTGATTTGGGTTTGAGTATATTTGGCTTGTATGGCTCTCGTCTCTCAAGACCGGTTCAGTTTTCCTAATTATGAAACAAACAAAATTATACATTACTATTTCTCAATAAATACTTTGTCCTACTTTTGATAGTATACACAATCAACAATTTAATCCAATTTCCCCCATTATTTCCTTATCCAAGAATGGCGTTTGTTAGGAGTAAAGCCTGGTCTCAATGTGCTCAACATAGTATGGTGCTTGTTAAGTGTACAGCCCGGTCTCAATGTACATAGAGTGGTGCTTGAATACAAGACAATTTATA